AATAGGAATATTACCTTTAATAATATGTAGGCCTAATTATTTTATTCAATATATAGAAGAGGAAAATTACCTTTAATAATATGTAGACCTAATTATTTTATTCAATATGTGAATAGGAATATTACCTTTAATAATATGTAGGCCTAATTATTTTATTCAATATATAGAAGAGGAAAATTACCTTTAATAATATGTAGACCTAATTATTTTATTCAATATGTAGAAGAGGAAAATTACCTTTAATAATATGTAGACTTAATTATTTTATTCAATATGTAGAAGAGGAATATTACATTTAATAATATGTAGACCTAATTATTTTATTCAATATGTGGACAGGATATATTGAGGAAGAAAACAACATATGTTTTAGTTATATTATATACCTGGTAAAATACATGAAAATAAGTATTATATAACACTGGTAACAATGTTCTTGACTTAAATAACAGGATAACCCGTTACTCGCTTTACTTAATGTATGTAAGGTTTTTCATAAAAGAAATGAAGTTATGTTATATACTTGATAAAATACATAAAAAAGAGCTAATAATTAACATTATTAAGTAGTAACAGTGTTCTTGACTTAAATAACAGGATAACCTGAAGTTATGTTATATATTTGATAAAATACATAAAAAAAGAGCTAATAATTAACATTATTAAGTAGTAACAGTGTTTTTGACTTGACTGAGATGATAACCCATCACCCGCTTTACTTAAAGTAAGTAATGTTTTTCTTTAAAATAATGTGAGGAATTTTACAATGTAAGAAAACGGTTTTGTTGTAAATTAACAGGCATGTGTGAACTACAACACGATTGCTATAACGATATATAAACACGAGTTTTGTGTGTTTTCTAACAGCACAAATGAAGTGTGGTTTTTCAATTCCAAATTGTGTTTATTTAAATACATTGTCGTATGTTATAGTCACAATTTCATTATGTGTATGGAGATTCTATAGGATCTAACAAATGTATGCTGTATTTTGTTAGCCAGAAATGATCAACTTGAACTTTCAACTATCTGACTCAAGTTATATTGTTTGTAACACAGGTGTTTACGCAACGTAAAGTTTGGAAGCAGTTTCATCCAAAATGTTAGTTCTGTCAACTACTCACTATTCATTAGGAAGCACATAACGTGTTGTTTGTTGTTCAAAAAACAAATGCACAAAGGAGCAATAACATAATGTGTATGGTAAAATACAAATTCACTGTGTAATTCTGCTTAAAACTCAATTTCGAGTTTGATTGAAATGATTTTTATACAAAGTATTTGTTCTGAAATTTAATCAAAATTTCATTAAAAGCAGGGCCAGGGATATTTATATATAAACGATCTAGTAATATGATATATATATATAACATGGCTTTATGTAAGTAAGAAAACATAAGTTTTAAGCTATGTGTTTTACAGATGTAGCCCTGTTTTTAATGATCCCCAAGATGGCTGTGTAAGGAGTATTAGATAAAACAAACCTATGAATCACTGCTACTCGCTTGAGAAAATAATCAAAAAGACGTTCATGTTATTTAACCCTTAGATTGTAGAAGTCATGTTCTCTATCTGGATGCTGTTTAACCTTTTAGAAATTCAGATTTTTGAATTTTTGTCTACTGTTTCAAATAAATTTGAGAAAGCGTGCAGACTTTTTTTTTTGTAAATATTCTTCATTAACAAACTCTTGAAAATTACGTTTTAAGAAAATTCAGTTACATCGATGTATTTATTTACATGGTGAAGCAAAAGTAACTTGCCTCAAGCCTTTAGAAAGAATATTTTTTTTAAATTGTGATGTACTAAAAACTAACCAATGAAAATTAAAATAATTATGAAAAGACATGTTAATCAATGGCTGGAAAACGAGATTAACAATTAATATTTTAATGTCATATTATAATATTGAACAAAATTTTGGGAACAAGCTACTTTTGCCTCACCTATATACGTGCAGAAATAAATATATATACTATACACACACTTGCGTTATAGGTCTTCTATATTCGGAAGATTCTTTGTTAATCTCAAAGTATGATTCTTGGTATTTCTTGGTGAAATATTTCTGATTTTTTGCGTAACATAACCTAGCATTAAGTAGTATCACTAGTCCTAATATTTCAACTAACTGATTATAAGAGTATCAAAATTACATTAGAACAAAAGTATAGAATTATAGAAGTTTGGAGAGAACAGACAAGTTACGAAAACCAATGATTTTACCTTTTATCAATAATATAAATCAAATATATTTAATAATTTTAATTAAAATATCTTTTTTTTAGTTCATTTACAGTTAAATAAGAAAACAACATACTGGTAATTTGCTTTATTTCATTAATTTCAGAAGTAAAGTATGTGATATTTCCTCAAGCAACACGATAATCCAACATCTGTTTCGTTAACAATTCAAACTCAGCCTTTACTTTTCAAGATGAAATTTATTTTCAACATGGAAAAGTACAAATATTGCAGTACAATCAAAATTACGCTGAAAACGACAACGGCCATCAAGTCCCCTTACCAAGATATATATATATATATATATATCACATTCTATTAAACAACGTATCATGATAACTTTTCCAATCGCTGTTTTAATTTTTAACTCTTTAAATTTTTTAAACTCTCTCCATAGAACAGTCAAAACACAAATTGTGACTTGCAAGCAATACATACTTGAAAACTTGAAGAAATCCCGTGGGAAAATTTGGCCATTCCAGTTAAGTAGGCGGAAAGTTCTCAAACTGTTCTCTTCTATACCGGTAGATGGCGTTGCGCTATATTGTTGGTAAGTAACTCAAAGAAGACGAAAGTTATGGGAGACATATGCAAACTTCAGTAGTAACACCAAGAAACATCAAAATGTCTCTCAAATACTATTAAAGATTAAATTAATAACATTAAAATTACTATACGATAAAACAGTTCATATACGAGGTAAAAGCCTACTCTATCGCAAGAGGAGCTTGTTGAATAACGCTAAAATATTTTCAGTTGACAAAAAATTAACACGATATAATTACTGAAACGCTACAAGAGTACACATCACAACTGAACACCAATATACCGCAAAGCAACACACATTGACAATTATCACAAAAACCTAGTCTAGGTGTAATTAAATACATTGTAATGGCTAATTAAGTAGGCTACAGTTGTACGCATAATCCTGATTTGCCATTCTTTCATTATGCCACTATAGAAAACTTTTTTTATTCTCAGAGTCTCGGCGTCATGGGACTTAAGTATATGGAATGCGATCATGCAAGTATGCTCCACAGCATCTTTAACTAGAATGGCCGATGTGAAAACGTTGACTAGAAAAAATCATACTGACAGGGGGAGATAAGATGTCAAAATTCACTAAAAACTTAATACACCATGAATAGGACTCAATTATTTTAAAAATGAACTCATAAATGGCAGATTATTGAGAAGGAAGGAACCTCGGTTTGGCTTGACTTTTACAAATTTCAGGCCTTTTGATTAACTGATTTAACTTGAAGCAGTTGTACAGCGTAATATGACTTCTTCAACCATTCGGAATGAAATAATTGGAGAAAACCGCTCTCTGTCAACAATAGTTATCTAGATTATAATATCACCGCAGTTTAAGTTCCATCAACTGGTTTTACATACTATAGCACCAATGCAAAAAACTGTGACGCATAACTAAAATGTGTCACTGTTACTTGTATTTCAATTTTCTTCGTCTGTATGTATATATGAGAGAGAGGTTGGGGGAATTTGATAACGATGAAAAAGAGGTAAGAAAGTTCAGAACGAATTTTTCAAGACTGATATACCTTGAACTTCATTTTACATTAGTGTTAATATGTGAACTATATCCAGTATTCAGGACAACGTTGATATTTTATACTTGATGCAAGGGTTTAAAGTGATATAAACCTTACAGAGGGTTTTATCACGTTAAATAGTCTGCTAACGTTTAACGATGGAACTTGCTTTTCGAGCACGTTAAAATGGCGTATCAATCCATATTTTGTTCTCACGATTCTCCACGCTTTAAAACCACCCCTCAAGAAATATCGGGCGATCTTTCATTATTTTTTTTTCTATAATCTAACATTTACAACTACGAAATTGCTCTCTCGTACAATTGGTACAATGTATTATTTGAGTTCCCTAATATGACAATATTTGATGCTCTTAGAACCACTCTCTTTCTGAGCTTTTTACTATCCCTACCGTTATCCGGTACAATACTTTAACAAAAATTGGTAAATAATTCTAAAAGAAAACTGCTGCTAGAGAGGAGAGAGGTTTTCTCCCATAGATGTAATGATAAACTGATCTGTGTAACAGCCTCATTTTCTCAAGCTACACCGCCAGGTTTCTCCAGGAATTATTTCTGCCAATAACACTCAGAAACATTTTATTGCATCAAAAAATCTTAGTTATCTAAAAAAATTCAAAAATGGAATGATTCATAAAATCACAGGAATAAACCAACATAAACCACTTGGGGAGAGGGGCTTTTAAAGTAACCCTCTCTAGTGGCGTTAGATGGTAGGTAATTAAAACATTGCCCAACGAATTGTGGAATGAATCTAGTCAAGACTGAATCTACTCTAATATTAAAATTCGAATTTGTATCGAAATTTATCAAAGTCTGAACTGGAATTTAAAGTAATTTCACAAATAGAAGTATAGTTTATCAACTAGAAGCTGAAAACAGTTTTTCACATATTATGCAAAAAGGATCACTATCTGTAAAGAAATTATGAAGAGAATGGCATAGAAATAAAAAAATCGGAGAGATTTTCTCTAAGCAAACAATTTATGTCATATTGATCGAGAATAGATATGGAAGTTTAAAGAAAATTTATAAAAACTTAAGTGAAAATTCAATTTACTTGAACTTAACACTACACCACTATATCATTTCCAATGCATACTTCGGGCTACATAGGCCTTCACTGTTAACATATACCTCATAGGCAAGAACAATTTTTTATCAAAATTCCACAATTTAACGATGGCTTCTGTACAATATAATTCACGACGCATGGATTTTACTTGTTTGTATGCTTCGCATTTATACTAGTATGTACTATATTCAAATATCCCTAACTGATCAAATATATTACCAAATATCTTCGTTGGACGCAACATATGAAACACACGCGCCCCCTACTGGAAGAACCAATTTATTAAACATACGAGTGAGTATTTTGTTATGAGTATCATCAAACTGTAGCGTGATCCAAATACTTCTGCCAAGAGCCTTGCTCTAATCAAAGATTTTTATGAATGCTTTATAAAAATATACTTCTCTTGTAGAAGTTAAGATAGTGGCTGTGGTATTGGCTTAAGATTTGTTTTTCATTCAACGGTTTGGTGTATGGTAAACAGGAATGCATTATGCTCATTCTAAACATATTCTCCCCCCCCCCTTCTTTGACAACATGCACCCAAATAAATTTGACACAAAAGAAGTAATACATGCAGATTGTTAGACATTTTTATCCACAGGAACGTATTTGGGTAAGGTATAAAAAGAATTTCCACATATCAAAGTGAACAAGAAGTAAAATAGCCAAATCAGTAATTGTAACTGAAGACTGTTTAATTGAAATAAAAAATAAAGGGGTTACAAAATATTGAACGAGTAATTTAAAGGCTTTGAAAATAAATAAAAACACATGCAATACAAAACAAAATGACAGCAAAAACTATAAAAATTGAAATAAACAAAAAAGGTGCAACACTTTTTACCTTTACTCTCTACTTTAAATAAACCTTGTTTTACCATCGAAGCTAAGGAAACAGAGTGCCAATACGATAAACAGTAATAAATACCGATGGGATAGCCAACAACTGTTGGATTATTTTCTACGACCAAAACATATGTAAAATATGTTAAAGTGAATAAATACTTACGACATAAAAACTACGTGTCTGGCATTGGCTTTTTTTCTTTGGCTTACTCTGACTAGATTTTTTGTTTTTCCTTGAATATGAATTGAGATCATCCTAATTTCCAAAAAAATAGTAAGTGGACGACAAAGTAAAGCCACTCGGTGGTTACATTACAATTTTGATATCCATTCCAGATGCCCACACATAAGCCTCTCAAAGCCTAATAAAGCATTCAACAAACTTATTAATAAACGTCTTTTCTAAGAATAGCACACGCTAATATGTGCTTTATTACAAGTTTCTCATTAATATATTATTTTCGCGAAATTCCTCCTCGGTTTGTAAACTTGATTTCAGAAATTTTGTTATAGAAAATGTTAACCATTAAATACAACCGATGACTAGGATTTATGAGTAGTCAATAGGCGATTCGTAGAGGTTATAAATATCTCAATACAGTTTTTATATCCCCATCCTCCTTCTGAAAAGTTTTCAGAATTAGAGAAGAGGAGTTAAGAAGTTCTAAGTATCCATCAAGATAACCTCTTCCTCACCTCACACAGTTGGATTATCCAAAGCGTAAAGGAGGATAGAGGATTTTATGCTTTGCATTTATTAGTCTTGAAGGATACTTGAAGCACCCTGTTACCGAGGGTGTAGCCGTTTAGACTTTGAATGGCCACCAGAGCTTCATCGTAATTGGTCATGGTAACAAAACCAAAACCCTTGCACTTGTTAGTCTGCAGATCTCTGATCACCTTCACGCTTTGAACTGCACCAAAAGGGCCGAAAAGTTGCCACAAAAGGTTTTCCTCTGTGTCTGGAGATAGGTTGTAGACAAACATACACCATCCAGACCCATTCACAGCATTGCCTGCCAACAGCGGATTAGCAGCCAAAAGGTCACCAGCAATGGGAGAGTACCTATAAAAAAACACGGTAAGATACGATCTCAACCAAACTGTTCCATCATTGCTATTACGTTCTTACCAACAAAATATCTATAAGTGAAATTTTTTTCTTACAAAATACGACATATATATAGTCTAGTTGTCTGAAACAAGCCAATTTAAGCATTTACCTTTTCATTAACATTTAGGAGTTAAGAGGATCATAATTCCTGACAGCATTACTTCGCCATGAAAAATGACTTCCTGCTCTATGGAATAGGTTAATATTTTACACAAAATGCACTTTATTTTTCAATAAATCCTAAGTAATCTTGTAAAGGGATGTTAGTATAGGAAATGTACCAATATTAGCTTACTGTGACACTTTACTCTCTCCAATTATTTTTATGATTTTACTTGCAATTTTTACTATAAATAATTTCTTAAGAGAGAAAAGATAAACTAAGAAGTATTTTTATGTAATATATATAACTAACTATAATGGAATGTCAGATCTTAAATAATAATAAAATCAAAACATTTTTTATTAATCCATTAACACCAATTCTTCTTTACACATATTCGTTAGAAAATTCTGAGTGTTAATAGATATACGGGGTGTTCACAAAATCCTGTTCCGGTTTTAAAAGATTATTATAACAAAAACAAAAGAGCTAGCATTATACAGTTTTTAGCACATTTTTTCTTAACTAATGAAGTTTCTTTTTATTTATGGATTGTAATCGGAGTGTCCAGTTGCTAATGATTGAAGTTTGAACAAAGATGGCGACTATAAAGGAGAACGCTCAATGTGCGCACTTTATACATGTAAAGATGCAGTCTCTTGTGCAGGACTTTGTATACCATTAATCTTGGTAGCTGGAATTCACTTGACGCACAACGATTAGGCTTTCTAGGGCTGCGTTGGAACGTCTCCTGGACAGTAGCAACAGTTTCTTCAGAAACACTTGGATGTCCACTTGCAGACAGGTCAATCACACTTCCTGTCTCCCGAAACTCGTGAAACCACCTCCTAATGCTGGGTTTGGAGGGAGGATCCTTGCTGGGTTTGGAGGGAGAATCCTTGCTGGGTTTGGAGGGAGAATGCTTGGTGGGTTTGGAGGGAGGATCCTTGCTGGGTTTGTAGGGAGAATGCTTGCTGGGTTTGGAGGGAGGATCCTTGCCATATCGAAGACGGTAATTCCGTTAAATAGTTGTCATTAATCTCGCCTCTGCAAACCAGATCGCACATTGAGCTTTCTCCTGTGTAGTCGCCATTTTCATTCAAACTTCAATCATTAACAACTGGAAACTTCGATTTCAATCTGTATATAAAAATAATAATAATAAAAATACTTCATTAGTTAATCAACAAGGTGCTAAAAACTGCAGGATTGTAACTCTTTTGGTTTTGTTCTAATAAACTTTTAAAACCTTAACAGGACTTTGTAGACATCCTGTATATACCTTGTTAATAATGTAGCCACAGAAAGCAAACGTGGAAAAGCTTGTGGTGTTATTACCATACTAAAAACTATTTTTATTATTTATTATTTGTGAGGATGAATGTTTGATGGCAATATTTTCATTCGTAGAAATGGTATGTAGAATAAATTGTAGATATACATATCTGCAGAAGATTATGAATACCTAAATGAGTCAATACTGGTAAAAGAGCTAATACACAAGATCATACACAAAAGGTGCAAAGACTTAAAAAAAAGACCCATAAATCGAGCGCTTTCGAATAGTTGAAGAAGAATAGTCTTTTTGTTCAATTAAATGAATCACTAATAGTTACTTAGAGATGTAAATAAAATAATGTAGGGCAAACGTATTAGAGGAATGTCTGCCAAAATGTAGTGCAGAGAGAATGGTGAGGTAAATGGTAAGAAGTGACTAAGTGTCGTCGTGGATCAAAATGTCACATTTTTTGGTGTACACTATATACCTGAAGATCAAATTATGGTCCCCTCTGATTTATCTGAACATAAAATAAAGCAAAACTACTATTATCAATCTTTACACTAATATTTCTAGTAGAAGTCAAATAGCATTACAGGAATACTAACGTAACTGAAGCCTAATCAGTTTGTAGTTATTACGACTATTACTTTTCTATGTAAGGATGATAAAACATTAATCCCGTACAGAGATCCTTTTGTTAAAGTTGAAGTGTTGAACAGACTGAAATAAGTTATAAGACAACCACTTGACGTGCGTTTTCACGGATTTTAATAAAAGGGAATGAATAAACTGTTGATCAATTGTTTCATAACACAGAGTGTTAAACAGGCACGGTGGTAAGTCGATTGCACGCAAACAAACGTTGTTACTGCTCAAAAAGGATGCCAGATTATCATTTGATTTAGAGAGTGGCTTCTCTTGGTGTTGCAGTTTCTACTGTTATATGTTACATAGATTAGGGCAGTTAGCATAACAGATAATGGTAAACAGTTCCCTGCAACTTAGAGCAGATCACTTACATAAAGAATAACCTTTGGTTTTCTTGATAAATATTTTTCTTATGAGAATCCACATGAAAGTTTTCATACAGATATTTTCTCCTTATAATCTGACTTTTATGACTGGAGTGTAGTACAATTACGACAAAGAAAATACAAGAACAGACATATTGAAGTTACTGTCATCACTTTAACAGACAACTGTTTGTGTTAATTGTTGTTCCAGTTTTCCACTTGTGATTTTAAGGCAAGCAAGCAAAAAATAGTCGACAACATGGTTCCAATATATGTGTTCTCAAGACAGTTTTATTATTTTATATACAGTATCTGTATGGAGACATTTTCCCTTACACTTCAGCAATATTACTAATTTTAATTTTGTAACCCTATTAACCAAGTGGGAAATTGTAATTTAACCTAAGATCCATGTAGCTAACTCAATATTCATTTGAGTACAAACTGTTTGGATATATTTATGGAAGAAAAAAAAAGGAGGTGAGGAACGTTATCAGTATGTCCTTTCTAACGAACGACAATGAATCGTTGGAAAGAGTTCAGAGGAGGGTTACTAAGATAATACCTGGAATGGAAAGGTTGTCACCAGGTGAAGTTAAGATCCCAGAAATCATTTTCTCTTGAAAAAGAGAAGATCTAATTGAGGCATTTCAGATTGTTGAGGGAATTGATAGTGTTGGTGCATCTTTTGTTTCATATTTAATGTTGAGTATGGTAAGACTAGGGGACATAAATATATGTTTTGGCAGTGTAGATGTCATCTGTTGTATTTCATATGTCTTTCAAATACCACACATGTCCTCACGGTGGGACAGTAGTAATTTTATGGAATTACAACACTAAAATCCTGGATTCGATTCCTCGCGGTGAACACAGAGATATACCACTGTGGCTTTTCTCTAAAACAAACAAGCATATCACATAGCCATTGATAACGATGGTGAACGCTTTGACTTGCAATGTTAGGTCAGTCCTGCGTCCATACAAATACAACTTAATTATTGTTGTTGTGGTATTACAGCTTGTTTTTCTTTCATTTTGTTGAGAGGTCATTACGGCCCACCCTCTATTTGCAAAAAAATAATAATTAATTCTTATTAATATCCTGATCAGTAGATATGATAATGTGGATATTGGGTGGTGTATACAATGATTTCAACATGGGTTTGTGTTGAAAAAAATACGTATACGGTTGCTCAAATTATTAATTATTAAGTTAATTATTCAAGATGGGTGGCTAATATGCAAGCAGCAATGATGAAATCAATTTAATTGCTCTAACCTAATTATATTAGCGTAAAAAAAAGTATTATCATATTACTTAACTCTCTCACTTCCGGTATGGCAGTAAAGCGAATATGTGTTTTCAAATAAGACCGCGTACAGTAATTATAATGTGTGTTTAAATTATGTTTACGTTGTCGTTGTATTCACCTCTATTGTTGATACCAATATAACGGTCTTGGTGAGGAAAATTCACTTTAGCTGACAAACAAACGTGATAAATGTTATTGCGTTGAATGCACACACGCACGCACACACAAAACAAAACATTCATCAATCCAAATGTAATCCTGGATTGAATAAGAAGTTTCTTACTTGATACAGAAGTTACTTAATTGAATAGGAAGATTACTACTTCATAGAGAAATTTGAGTTTATTGCTTCATAAAAAAGTTACTGGACTGAATGGGGAGCTTACCACTTCATACAGAAGTTATTGGACTGAATAGGAAGTTTATTACTTCATACAGAAGTTACTGGACTGAATGGGAAGCTTACCACTTCATGCAGAAGTTATTGGACTGAATAGGAAGTTTATTACTTCAAACAGAAGTTACTTGACTGATAAGGAAGATTATTACTTCATACAGAAGTTGATGCCTGCATCTTAACAGATTACTATTTGTACCGAAAGTTTATCAAGGTTTTGCACATGTGTATTTTATGGTTAAAAATCAGCAATTTAAATATGTTACTACCACAGCTCTCTGCTACAAAAATACCTGTTTCACTCCTCATTACTATTACGTGAATCTAATATACAAAGGAAAAGGAATTACTGTTATAAATATTTCTCTTTGGTGAAAGAACAAATTCGTAAAGCAGATATTGATAATAGTTTTGATGTACTGGCTTACGGTAAAATAACACAAATGTAATAAATATTTGCTTTTGGTATATGGTTTGAAATAACAGATTTGTAGAAACAAAGATTTACTACAGTAATAATGGTTTCTGTATGTTATGGTGTGAAACTACTGATATCTTGTAAAATAAACGCAACTGTAATAAAGGCTGTATGGTGTGAAACTACATGCAGGCTGCCAGTGAGTACAAATATTTGCTACTATAATAACAGTTTCTTTCAAAGCTGCGATGAAGTTATTATGTTTTATGTTAAATCAAACACTCGGCTTTGTAATAATTGATTTTATGGCGTGAAATCACGCGTTTCTTATAAAAACATTGAAAAAGTAAAACATCCGCTACAAAAATGAAACGTTCATTATACTGCTTGGGTGTGAAACTATGGGTTTGTTATAAGCAGAAAACAAAATTTAAATCACTTGATTACGGGTTTATAGTCATTACTAGTGTGTGAAACTATATAATTTGGGTAACAAAACAAACAAAAGGCAAAGGTTACACAGCACTCCGCTGCTGTAGTCACGGTTTCGCTCCACGACTCCACAGGTTTCTTAGCCGTGTACTTCTTACAACGTCAACTTACGAAACAATGATCCGTGGCAGGTAAGGGTTATGTTTTCTATAGTTATATTTTTAAGTATAAAAGGTATCGATATGTACAACACAAGTCAATATAAAGTAATGTGAATTTTGGAACATAAACCGCAACTGAACAACGTCTAGGAGGCGCTAGGTAACCGTACCTGGAGATCGGCGACAGGGGTATGTACCTGAAGCGGTTGGCCGGGTGGTGAATTGGGCCCGGGAACCGGCGCTGCGGTGACAGGTAAGCTGCTAGCGGCGTTATGGCCTTAGCGTTGTTGCTGGGATTGTTGGCGAACTTCACGGTTATCGGCTCGGTTGCGCCCTCCGGGATCGTGTTGTGCAACTGTTTGATTGCACGTTCTGCTTCGATTCTTTGATCAAAGCGAACAAATCCAACTCCCTTTGACAGTCCTAGCAAACATGAATAAGGATTCCGATTGAAATTAAACCATGTAATTAAATTACCAATACAGTTGAGACGCGACACAGTAGCCGATGATGTAATTACAAAATTATACAATATAATACTGATGTTCACAAAGTTGCAATTTTATGACAAATTGGAATATATTCGTAATACATATTGTCTAAAAGGATAGAAAATATATGTTAAGATTACTAACAGGTAAAGGCCGGACACGTAAAACCACTGTTATAGAGAGGCTGAAAAAACAGTTAGCTAAAAGTAAACATTTTGAATATGTGATATAATTCTTGTTTGACAGTGACAAGGAAGTGATATTTAAAACACTGGACATCGAGCGTTTCTACCTTTCCAAATGGTTCTTCCATCAGCAGGCAAAACGCGTAAACTTTTTTGTTGTTTATTTCTGGCAACTTGTGATAAGTACAAAAAAAAACTATTGTATCAACATAGTTGTAACATACCTGAAGACCAAGCAATAAAAAATAGACGACATACAGTAACATTATGTAAGATACAAGATATCTCATTTAACAGTTCGTAGTGAACTAGTTGTGGATATTTTATAAAGAAGGAGAAAAATAAGCTAACGATTTAAAGCTCAGACAACGTATAATTAGGCCGAATTTTTCCTTTAAAAAATCAGAAATGAGTTTACGCACTGGTGCGTTCTCATATTCGATATTTATAGTAGCCCAAATTCTGGAAAAGAAGGTTAAGATAAAACTACTTGAAAAATTAAAAATCGACCAAACTTTTTAATGTACTTTGATTGTTAATATTTCTAAAAGCAAAAGAGATTCCATTGGTAGAGAAAGGGTGAAGATTAGGCCAAGTTAAGTCTTATATAGCTGATTGGGTCCTTTGTAAATTTAAATCAATATGAAACAGTTGGGTCCTTTATTAATCTAAATGGATATGAACCAGTTGGGTCCTTTATTAATCTAAATGGATATGAACCGGTTGGGTCCTTTATTAATCTAACTGGATATGAACCGGTTGGGTCCTTTATTAATCTAAATGGATATGAACAAGTTGGGTCCTTTATTAATCTAAATGGATATGAACCGGTTGGGTCCTTTATTAATCTAAATGGATATGAACCAGTTGGGTCCTTTATTAATCTAAATGGATATGAACCAGTTGGGTCCTTTATTAATCTAAATGGATATGAACCGGTTGGGTCCTTTATTAATCTAAATGGATATGAACCAGTTGGGTCCTCTATTAATATAAATGGATATGAACCGGTTGGGTCCTTTATTAATCTAAATGGATATGAACCGGTTGGGTCCTTTATTAATCTAAATGGATATAAACCAGTTGGGTCCTTTATTAATTCAAATTCATATGATTCATTAGAAGTACTTATTTCCAAAGAAACATCCGATAGGAAAGAGTTAAAATACGTACTGTAAATGTCAATTAATTTATAAATATATCACATTGGATGAATATATACATAATAATATTCCCAGTAAACAAAAACAAGAGAGTGGAATGTAAAGAAAGACGTTTGGATGAACAATATTATGTAACTAATAACCGATAAAGTAAACAAAAGCATTATCAAAGGTGAAATTGAAATAATATTAAAAGCTTTCTTTTACTTTACTTTTACACAATATTACATCTTGATACAGCAGCCGTTTTACATTTTTTGGAATATTTTAACTGTAGATAATATCAACACATAGTTGAAATCATGATTCAGAATTGCTACTTACTCTGGCCATATTATATAAGGTTAAATGATACATAAAACCATTGCACAGATGTCGTAAGTAACGTTACAATCCAAACGTCCATTACAGTAAAAATACATCTTAAAATTCTTCAAGAAGAATATGAGATTATTTAAAAAACAAAGTTTGAAATATCTGGACTCAGAACACGATCAGCAAACGAAAACACATAAGGAATTATTTAAATTATTGTAGCGTACAATGTTGTGACTGAAAACAGTCTCGTCCAACTCATTGTTGAAGTTATAAACATTCTGAGCTACACAGATAATTTTATTAAATTTACGAACCAAACATATCAAATTATTATAGAGAACTTTTATCATGGAGAATATCAACTACCTGGGATATTAATACCTGTGATGTTATCACAAAGAATGCGTGACGTAATGATCCGGCCAAATGGATGGAACAAGTTTTCCAGCTCTTGCTGGGTCATTGACTTAGGCAGCCCACTAACATAGAGGTTGGCGCCTTTAATGGCTTCACTGCTAGGCCTCGCGTAGGACACCTGAGAAATGAAATATCACTATAAGTATAAATCTGAATATTGATAAAGAAGGGATAATAACTCTGCCTATGTTTGTAATCTAAGTCTACAAGTCAACCTTAATGTTGGTTCACTATAGTGGTAAGTATGAATAATATATTCCAAACGTCCTTACTTTCAGGAAAATATGTTCGAGTATACAGTTATTTAAAGTCTTTAAAACATTTTGAGTTGTTGACAGACTGACGCTGACGTAAGTCCAAAAGCTTAAATTAAAGCAAATTAGAGTTAAACATATTACTTTATAAGAAATATGTTATCGATATTTTAGTTGCAACTAAAAAATACGTCGTTCTCATTTTCAAGAAAGTGCATATTGTGCATATTGTGCATTAATGCAAAACCACCATACATACATTTACCATCTCTGGAAAATGGCATATTCTGAATACGATAAGATTTGAAACAATCTCTCTCCAACTGTCACCTCTCAGGAATGTAAAACTCTGAATATTATGATCTTCCTGTCACTTATTATAAATAAAGTATAAATAAGTTAAAATATATATATTTTTCTTTGAATTTTCTTACAAATTATACACTAAAACAGTTTCAAATAAATTACTTAACACTTCTAATTCTGTAAAAAAGGTATGATAGGGACACAATTAGATCTGAGCAATAATGTTCTTTTTTCCAATACCCACGAATGCTTGTTTGGACATCGTAAATCCTAAAAATGCTTTATTAACAATTCACTATTCTAAAAGTATTTTCTTCTCTTAAACTAATTTCCATGAGCAATGTCGTATTTCATAAGTCAACGAGATATTGTAGACTCAAAACACCCAATAAACCTAAGTACAAGATTCAAAACTACTAGCTATGCGACTGTCGAGTTTTATATCATGTTCAAACATCAAATCCAGGAAGGCATAAACCTGACGAAAGCCAACCTAAGGTCCTATAGAAGAAATGACAGAGAATCTAACGGGAGCCAACCTAAGGTCCTATAGAAGAAATGACAGAGAATCTAACGGGAGCCAACCTAAGGTCCTATTGAAGAAACAGCAGAGAACCTAACAGTAGCCAACTTAAAATCCTATAAAAGAAATGACCGAGAACCTAGCTGGAGCCAACCTAAGGTCCTTGAAGAGGATATGACTGATAACTTAACCAGAACCAACCAAAGGTCCTATAGAAGAGTTATCTGAGGACCTAACAAGAAGTTCTTTGAGTCCCATAGAGAAGTTAGCTAAAAACCTATCAAGAGTTAGCTGAGAACCTAACAACAGCCAGCTTCGAATCTAATAAAAGAGTTAGCTGAGAACCAAACAAGTTAGCTCTGAATCCTATCAAAGAGTTAGCTGTGAACCTATCAGGTCAGCTTTGAATCCTACCGAAGAGTTAGCTGTGAACCTATCAAGTCAGCTTTGAATCATAGAGGAGAGTTAGCTAAGAACCTTACAAGTCTCAGCTTTGAATCTAATAAAAAAGTTAGGTGAGGATCTAACGAGAGTCAACGTGAGGTTCTCGAATAAAAGTTTTTGACATGGAGCCCGTTGTTAAAATCGTTATTTACCTATTAGAAGTTATATAATTAGAAGTGACTGAGAGAGAGGTTTTAAACACATGCAGAAATCCAGTACTCTCAGTAGTGTATATAATGTTACAGGTTATAAAAACAATAATTTAAAAGTCATATGGTGATAATAAGTCCTTCATATGCATTAGATGTAAGAATACAAATAACTACATTAAGAAATAACATTCATGTACGTATAGATTTACTATATCCAGATAACTTACTCGAATTCTAAGCGAAATTATGGTTAACAAAATAACATGACATAACTAACTTCATCAATAGCTGAAAGGGAGATTTTTTTACATGATCACTTTGATATTTTAGCTTCAGACCATATTTTCCATTTATTTCTGAATAATTCACACCATTAAACTTTTCACTACTGTTTAACAATTAGATTCACCTTCTTACATCAAAATACGAAAAAAAATCAAAAGTTTTATGAAAAAGGGACTCTTTATAAGACACCCAGAAACCCCATAAATCAAATACACCACCTAACTTTGTCCGATGTTACCCATAAGTTGTGTTAACATTGTTAGTTGGAGAACTGACGGTGAAAGAAGAAAGAAAACAAAACCAGAACCAACGTTTGATATTTAACAATGCTAATAAATAAATCAGTGATTATCTGACTTACATAAAATAACCTGGAACAGTATTTTATTGTTAAGTTTACATTTTTGCAAAACAACATATGTTTTGAAAGTACAAAAATCAACTTTTTTTTGTACATCTCTTGGAAAACACTGACATTAATAACACAAATAAAATTCGGCGAAAAGATGACAGATCTAGTATAGTTCTGTTGTCTAGTACGATATAGGTTAAACCTCGCTTTAATGTCACACCCATATGTTCTGCTCGAGGAGCTCGCGCTTTACCACTGTTAGCAAAGAGAAATGAGTTTCGTGCAGTTTGCGAGACAACTTAGAATTCGCCCTTTTTCTGTTGTTATTGTTGTCCTTGTTCTTTTTGTTTTTTGCTACAACAAGAAATGTAGTTTGAGCATGCTGGTAAGACATGAATGAAGAACAAAAAAGTATTAGTTACCAGTTTGGGATAAGAAATAGTGGTTCATGATTGTTGTGAAATTAAGTACTGCACCTTTAATGTCTGTTACGTATTGAGAATTTGAAATAATCCAAAGCCGCGTTAAATAACTTAACTTTCAATAGTTGAAATATACCCTGGATTTAGTGTTTAGAAATATGGCGATATTTTATTTAATTTACACTATTTGCCAACAAGATTGATTTACGCCGTTTTTGTTTTTGATACAAATACGTTTTAATATATATACAACAGTATAATTTACAATGGCAATTATTACGATTAATTATTACAAACCAAGTTTACAGAAATTTCACTAACTTACAAATAACCTAAAATCGTCTTCCTAGTTCAAAGTCTCCTTGATATCCAGTGAATTAACTTGAAGTCGATGTTATCGGAAGCTAGCTAGCTTTGTCAGACACTGAACTATTGGACTGTCGAAGTAGGATAATATTTTCATAAAACTACTAATGTCCGATGAGAAACCAGCAATATTTTTGGAAATATACTAACGTTTGATGAGAATTCACTGACGTTCGACATTTATAGCTGTTCCTGACCAAATGCCGTATATTTCCCGGTTGGTAA